TGGCTTCAACCTGATCTAAGGTAACTATAAAACATATCATACGACAAGATTATCACTTCAACATTAATCTCAGGTTACTATAGGTAACTGTTTAACACACATCATAGAACATGATTTTGGCTTCAACCTGATCTAAGATTCCTATAAAACATATCATACGACAAGATTATCACTTCAACATTGATCTCAGGTTACTATAGGTAACTGTTTAACACACATCATAAGATGTTATGTTGGCTTCAACCTGATCTAAACTTACTGTAAGCACCTGTTTAACACACATCATAAAACATGATGATGGCTTTAACTTGACTTAAAGCATAAAGTCCTCCGGCATCTGTTTAATTCAAACACTTGGTACCAAATAAGCAGTTAAAAGCTAGAACACAGCTCTCCAATCCCAATTCATTTGAAACATTTCTACCAGGGAGGTAAGTATCTTCATGCAAAAAAAAATTAAACGCTGCCTACAACTTTTCACTTTCAAACTATGTGAAGCGTTGCAGACTGGGTTTGCGGCCGATGATATCATTAACAGTGAGAGTACCCAACTGATGACACAACGCATTCTAATATACTAATAAGAACGTAAGAAAATTACATTTAATTATGTACACTCATTACCGAATTTATTTTTGATCCACGTAGGTAGCTTGTTTTGGTTGATGTTAATTCTTAAGCATCAGATGATTTAAGAATATTTTTTCTTCACTTAATTGAGCCATAAATATTTTCATAGAACCGTCTGTAATATAATTATTCTATATTTGATCATTAGTCATTTTAGATATTCAAATTAATGCTTAAGTTCCGAGTTATTTTACAACGAATAAAGAAAAAAAATCTGCTGCGCATTTATCACGGCGCTGCAGCTCTGAGCACCCCTCACTTGATCTAATTACTTCATTCCAAACGTCATAGTTGTTTGAAGTGGGTTTTCCAAAATAAAGTGCTTAATAGCTGGTAATAAACATTGTTGCGCATACAGAAGAAAAGGTGAACACACCTAAATGCATTAGACGCGCGATTCACCTGTAACAAGCCGGGCTCTATCTGTTCTGCGGCTTATCTCAAGTGTGACGCGCCATGCATCTCTTGCAGCACGCCAAGCGTGAAGTAAACACGTCACGTAGTGTTCCTGGCGGCCGTGAGTTATCCTTGCAGGGTTACGCGTACCTTGTCAAGGTGCTTCCATCGTCAGATGACTTAGAAAATGGATTTCAAAAATTATAAGAACGCTGGAGTGCTCCGTTCAACAGTGCGCGTACTTAGAGATGGATGATGTAGAAAGTGGTAAAAAAAACATGAATAATTCAAAGGAAATGACATTCTCCTTAAACATTAACATACTGTGATAACATTCACTCTAATACTGACATTTTCCATAAACATTAACATACTGTGATGATATTCACTCATATTCTGACATTGTCCGTAAACATTAACATACTGTGATGATATTCACTCTAATACTGACATTTTCCGTAAACATTAACATACTGTGATGATATTCACTCTAATACTGACATTTTCCGTAAACATTAACATATTGTGATGATTTTCACTTTAATACTGACATTCTCCTCACAAATTAACATACTGGGATGATATTCACTCTAATACTGACATTTTCCATAAACATTAACAGACTGTGATAATATTCACTCTAATACTGACAATCTCCTTAAACATTAACATACTGTGATGATATTCACTCTAATACTGACAATCTCCTTAAACATTAACAGACTGTGATAATATTTACTCTAATACTGACATTTTCCGTAAACATTAACAGACTGTGATTAAGTTTACTTTAATATTAACATTCTCCTTAACTATTAACAGGTTGGGATGAAATTGAGCTTGTACTGACAAACGATAAACTGGAGTTAAAAAACAAACAAACACGCCCATTTAGCATTGGTATGAAAATATTGTGACGAAATTCATTTTACTACTAACACTCTCCTTAAATATTAAAAGGATGTGATGAAATTTCACTTCAATACCGACATTTGTAAAATATGTGTGTGAATATGTGTAAAATATCTATACGTGGCGAAGTCTAACATAGTTTTGTAAGCTAAGGAATTAAAGTATCCTTTATTTGAAAAATATTCAAACCTAATAAAAATCCATAGCATACAGCGAACTGATAATAATAAAATGAAGAATTGATAATGATTAATGTAATTTTTAACAGTTTTAGTCAATAAACAAAAAAAATGTTAATATATCGTAAAGTTGAATGTATTACTGAATAACTTTATGTAAACAAATTCAGTTATTCTTAATTTGAGCAACCGCCGTAAATTTAGCCTTACGTAAAGCTCGACACGGTGTACGAATATCCATAGAGCGTAGAGTTTTGATGTATATATAAAAACAAAACAAAAATTATTCAGCCATAAAGTTAACCGCGTCGTAGAACAATGAAAACAAACGATAAACTGGAGTTGAAAAAACAAAACAAAAACGCCCACTTAGCATTGGTATCAAATGATCATGATAATTTCATGTTTTCCGCAATATAACAGATTGAACATGAAAATACCTGGCTGTGTGTTTTCGATCGCGTGATGCGTAAACACATTAATGTATACATACACAAGATAAGTAGATCCACAAAAGATTTATTAATAGAGATATTATTTTTCTCTGTGTGCCAATATATCTCATATTTTAAGTTTTTCAATTCTACTTCATTTTTTTCCAAATGTAATAAATTGAATAAAACACATACACACAAGTTATTATTAATATAAGTTACTTGTATATAATAAAGGAAGACACCGTATTCGTGTGTTCATTTTAACTGTTTCACCGTTTTGCGAGTTGGTGTGGAACAAATGTTTAACAAGCGGAAGCGAAATACATCAGTAGTTGAACTCCTGTTCCCTCCCAAACCTACATTTTCTGTTCACATAAGATGAATCTGAACAGCATTCAATTAGATACGTCACTAACCAGATCTTTAAAATGAATCCTAAGATTTTCAAAGCTAAAAACTAACCAGTTTAAAAAACAAAAACAAAGATATTCCAGCATAATTGGTTCTGTCTGTATCTTGATAGCATGTTAACACAATATTATAACTATAGGCTTAAATACCCCAGTATGTTAAGAATATTGTTTCATGTTTTATCAAGGATATTCTTAGAAAAATTTTCCGTCTCCCAAATATGAAAAATTCGGTTTTCTGTTACACAAACCTTATTTGTTTGATTATTAGTTTATTGTGTAAAGCTGCCGAAAACAGTGTCTAGAACGTTCTAACTTGCGCATTCATACTTTTCTGCCTGTTTATATACGTAAAGATACACAGAAAGATTTGAATTCTGCATAAAATTCACAATGATGAAGTTGTCGCTTTTTAGAAATAATAATAATTTGAAGTATTTTATTCTTAAAGTATGAATATATTTATACGTACAAACACTTACGTAATAACTTCTACCACAAGTTTATACTTATAAACTATACTTATATAAACATATCACTATAAATATTATTATTTTTTGGGCAAAGCTGCACAATGAGCTATCAACACTCTGTCCACAGCGGAGAATCGAACCCCGGATTTAAGCATCGTAAGTTCACAAACTTACCAGTGACCCATAGGGGGAGATATATACACACATTGTACAGGCTAGCGACCTTTATAACCAAATATCAGTCATATGTTTTTATCGTAAAAAATCACTAAACTATTTTGCTAAAATGTATAAACGGAAATGTATAAATATGGCACAGTGGTTTTCGGTGGCTTTAAAGCACATTATATCTTCCAATAATAGTAGATCCTATAGCTAACGCATATCAGTCCTAAGTGGGCTTGAACATTGTTCCATTTATCGTTAATAAATATCCGACAGTAGCTTCATTTATCTATTTTTATTATCATGTTCTGAATAACTGTATAAATGAATGAAAGTAGTTGGCCTATAAAATCACAAGTACGTCATCTATATGGAAGAAAAAAGAGGGAAACAACTCATGCATTAAAAACTGTTTCCCAAAGGTTCGATCTCTGCAATAGACACAGCAAAGATAGATCATTGTGCACCTTTATGCTTAACAACAAACAAATAAAACCAAGACGCTGACTACAACGCCTTTCTTACATATAACAATTATATTTCCCATAGAAACTTTAAAATGAATGTAATGTTGAAATATTAACTTTAAAAGAGAAAACTGACCCGAAAAAGGCAGATTAGAAGTATTGTGGAATCAGCGGGCTTGCAACAAAAACAAAAAGCGTGAGACTGTTTAAAGAAAGTTTGACAGTTCCGTAATACTTTAATAATTAGCATTCTATTATTTACAGCTAGTGGGACAGAGACATAAACAACCCGACACAAGTTGAACCAAAGAATGATTTTGAATTCAATAAACAGTTGAAATCACATCGTTATAGCATCTAAAAGTAAAAATTACTGATTGTAATCGTTGTAAGGGAAAGAAAAAAATAGTGGTCAGCATTTTGGTTTCCTTGTTTTGACCAATTTCTTAATATTTTCAGATAACCATACGTTCTATTCTATAGTTTTTTTAATGTTAGTTTCATTAAGAGTATTGGTTAAAATGTTTAATATGTATGAAAATTTTATCATGAAGATTATTTTGCATTGTTAAGTTAGTATAAGGACTTAGGACTAATCTAAATATCCTAAACAAGCCGAACATATTGAGTTATTATTTGCATTATGGCCGAAAATACCACTAACAGTGAAGCTACCTGAAGGAAGAATTAATGCATTCTAATCATTATAAGTAAGAATAGTATATTAAATTAGTTATATTCATTATTAGGTTTAGTTTTGATTTATGTTTGTAGCTTGCTTTAAAAAGAAGTTATTGATAATAATATATAATTAAAGAGATTGTAAAAAGTATCATTTTTAAATCTATCGAGTGTAGGTGCAAAGTAGGAAATGAATAGTAGATCGTTTGTCAACTCGTAAGTTCTAAAACACGTTTAAGATAAGGCTTACCTTTCCATGTTCTTTCTCAAAATCACAGCCTTCGCTATAACCGTTGGTACAGGGGCTAAAGACAAGTTGAAGATTGGTTCCTGTTGTCGTGAAGGCCTGCAGGGGGAAAAACCGGTCAAAGATCACAAAATACTTCAATCAAAATTGTACATAAACAATGGTGCAGTAAGCAGAAAATTACAGTAGTCATAAGAATATTTGTTTATTGTCTAAGCGATTCGCTCCAACATGTACGCACATGAACAGTGCAGTGTCCGCGCATGCATTTTCAGCACTTAGCTTTTGAGAAGTAGCAGTCAGTTTCTTGAGGCAATTTATAACTGGTATGTTGTACTTTACACGAAATTTTAAAGCCAGAAAGCTGATTTCTGTAGTTACCTGTTTTAGAGATACAAAAACAGGGCCTATAAAATCGTTAGAATTGTTAAGTCGTTGTCAAAAATGGATAGAAAAGTTAATATTCCGTTCGGTTTATCTGACTGTTTTTTAAATACTTGCTTGATTATTAGTGTGTCATGTAAACCTGTTCAAAACGCTGTCTATAATGTTCTAACTTATACGTGCATACTTGCATTGGCTTATTTATACACATACAGATATAATCAAACATATTTGTTCGAATAGTCTATATAACAGCCATAGTATTAGGAACTGGTACTTTCAGAAATAATAGTAATTGTACGTATTTACTTCTTAATGTGTTACCACAAAAGGATCTGAGTAATGATTAGTAGCTATCACCTGTGGTTATGTAATTTTTTTTTCAGACGGCATACCAAGCCAAATATAATTATTTTTAGAATTTCCAAAGAACTATTAATTTGTCAGACCAGTTTGAGCATTTTAGCTGAAGGAAAGACATCAAGGGTTATAAAGTTATCAAATGTTTTCTTTTATCCTAAAAAAAAAAAAGAGTTTTAATGAACATCAATTTTTGGCCCTGAGCAACACCCATTAAAAACCTTTTTATTGGGGGTTAAAGAAAACAGTTTGTTTGGCATAACTTATTTTTTTCACATAGTAACAATGCCTGTAGACATCCCCAGAAGAGCACTGTCCATTTTAAACAAATGACAATGTTGTTGATATTTTGAAAAATTACTTTTCATAAGTCCAAGTTCGATATATCAACATTAAAATTTGAAAGAACGGTTGCGAACAAAAAAAAGTGTTGTCTTATTTAGTTGGTTTCTCTTTTACCAACAGCGATACCTCACACAATAAGAGAAAGTCCGCTAATGCCTTGCAAGTAGTGCCCATTCTTACAGAGTTAACATAATAAGAGAATGTTCGCTAACGCTTTTCCAACAGCAGTTCCTATTCTTGTAAGAGAAAGAGTCCGCTAATGTTTCGCCAATAGCAGTTTCTATTGTTACAGAGTTAACACAATAAGAGTACGATAACGCTTTGCCAAAAGCTTCAATTTTTACATTGCTAACATAATAAGAGAAAGAGTCCACTAATGTTTTGCCAACAGCAGCTTATATTCTTGCAGAGATAACACAAGAAGACAGAGATTCCAATAAAGTTTGCCAATATTGGTTCCTATTTTTTGCAGGGTTAACAAAATAACAGTACGCTAACGCTTTGCCAAAAGTGGTTCCCATTCTTGCAGTGTTAACACGACATAAGAGAGTTCACTAAAGCTTTGCCAACAGTGGTTCCTATTCTTTCAGGGTTAACACAGTAAGGGTCTGCTAACGCTTTGCCAACAGTTGTTCTCATTCTTACATGGTTAACACAATAAGAGAAAGTTCGTTAATATTTTGCCAAAAGTGGTACCCACAGTGAAAGTGTCCGCTAATGTTCTGCCAACAGTAGTTCCCATTCTTGCATAATAAATGAAAGTCCGCTAACGCTTTGCTAACATCGGTTCACCTTCTTGTAGGGTTAACACAATAAGAAAGAGAGAATGAGCTAACATTTTTCCAACAATGGTTCCAGTTCTTGCAGGGTTTCATAGTGTTCTTTCTTATTAGACTTACACTTATGACAGATACACTTGTATGAATATGTATACCTAAAGTATCGTCACTAGAACTTACATCTACCTATGTATACATGTAAGTAACTCACATGTTAAGGGGTCGTAAAAAGTTTGCGTGAAAACGAAGCTACGCGGTTTATGTAGAAAAAAGTCGATATAGCTTCTAATAATGTCCCAAAAACTTTGAAATATCCTCAATTAAGCGCTATAAATGTAGGCAAAATTTTTACAGGAATCCTGAATTGTAACCGGTTGTAATATTTACTTTTCACATGTCAGGACAAATTTATTGAAACCAAATCGAAAGTTTTAAGATTTTTTTTTCTAATTAGTGCAAAACATCTGTGCTACAGTTCAAATCATAATTCTAACGTGCATGAAAAAACTCTAATCACGCTCCTGCATATTTCAGTTGGTAATAAAAAAAACTCTTGTATATCTATCATAATCAGTAAGATAAAAAAGAGAGACAGATTTCATCAACAAAACACACCATTTTTCGGTACAAGGACGTTTCCGGTGTCATTTCATCGGCGCTCCTGTTTTCCAGCTGACGGAGGGTTCCGGGATGTGAGAACGGGAACTACCGATGCTTGCAGCGGTAACACTATTACCACGTGCTCTACTAGTAGCCCGCTCGTTCCCCTACTTTGGTTACGTTTAGTCGAAGGCGCTATTGACTCACCCTCTTTTTGGTGGTGAGAAATCGGGAAGTGGTTTGGCTGACTTTTTTGAGACATTCGCGATTAAAACAGTGAAGAATAAATAAATTAGTAAGACTCATGACTTCACCTTCCTGTCAAGTGTACAGATTTTCTTAGAATCTTGATGAATAATATAAAACGAAGTTACGCAATAAAAATTAACTGAAAGAATGACTAAAATGTATTTCAGCAATTTCGAAAGAGAGAACTAATAAAGAAAATAAAAAAGAAGAAAAAAAAGAGGTGGGTACTTATAAATAAATGATCTAATAGTAACATCGCCTTTTCTCATTGCACCATCTCTGAATCAGACATGCAAGAGTCATTCTTAAGTTTAATTTTGTGGGTTTAGACAGAACTGTTTGTGGGGGGAAAATATTATAAATGAAACTCAACTGGTGTCTCGCGCATAACGGTGATTAACAAAGTTCCTGTTGAAATCATCCAAAACGTAAAATTGTGCAATGATTTTGACGTCTCACAAATATGAACACGAAGTACATCAGAATTGAAGATAAATATTAAGGGATTGTTGATATATCAATAATATATCTATGTACATATATCATTATTATTATTTACTCTCACTTATTGTGATTTTTATAACGGACAGTCTGTACACAATAAAGAAAACGTAATCCATCAGAGATCATGTAACACGAGAAATAGTCAGGGTTTAATATATTTGTGTGCATTATATTTTACACGTGATTAGACTGAGAAAAATATAGTTTCGTACGCGTGTGAATCAGGGCAAAATCAAAAACGGGAGACTTAAAGTGAGCCGCTAAGTGTTCGAAAGAGGAACTAAGTGAGGAAGGAAAAGTAGTTTTATAAATAGAACTATTACTTTTCAGCACGAATAATACGAGAAAATTAGGACTTACTATTTCCGTTTGGCCTTCCCTACATCCATTCTGAAAGCGTATCTGTCTGTCTTCCTGGGGTCTATCTCTATAACCTGTGTACCTCACCTAGAAGAAGAAAAAAAATGGACAAGCGTCAGCTAAGACACGTCCAGAAAAGTCTTGAGCGCGAGTTATGACACAACACAATCCGGGTGCTCTTGAATCAAACTGATGAGTTAACTTCCGGGTAAAATACCTTGAGAAGACTATAAGAGACTACACTGGAACTCTTTGAAATTAATATTAAAGAAAATATTTACCTCGCTTTCACGACTGAGTCTCCGGAACAGTTCGTCTGATTCAAATTTCGCCTTCTGATCCGCCACAACTCGCGGCATTTTAAAAACAAACCGAGGGAGTTGGTCGTAAATGCTTGAAGTCTCAAATGGGAGCATGTTGGATTTCGTCTGTGGTGCTTCCGTCAGTGCGGCCACAACAAACCCAGTTCTCCAGTTCTGCGCGCTTGTTTCGCTACAGCCTCCGGCTCCTATTGGGCTGCCAAGAATCACTTACTCACCGCTTCGGCGAACCGGAAACCGACGATTACCATATCGAGAGGCTCGACCTCGGGCTTCGGGAAAATAGGCGTTGTTCTAGCACGTGACGTCAGGGGTGATTATGTGGTTTCCCAGAAGGCCATGCGATTTTATACAGTTCACCAGGAAAATATGACGTAGAATTCGAGTAGCTAAGAAATCTGATGGTTCTCGTCGATTGATGTTAAACTTTTCATTGCTGGAGCAGATCGGTGGCAAAGTGCCCACTTCATACGGGTTTTACGAAAGTACACAAGTAGATTTGGCAAGAATACCAAGTGAAATTATCTTTCTAGTACAACTTTTACTTGAACTGTTTCTTTGAGGTAGCGTCTGTATCTGTAACTCAGTAAGACCTCGGTGCACTGACTTTGTACTATCACGTGCTGTTATGAAAATTGATTACAAAATCCTAGAAAACATGATAGTTTCTTTCGAATAGCAAGAATTTCTACAGAAGATTATGAAGAAAAGTAATCCGAATGAACCAAGTCACGTGCTTGGAATATGTAAAGAGATCGTAACTTCTACGGAAGATTAAGAACAAAAAATAGTTCGAATGTACTGTTTTAAAATATGAACTTTGGACCTTTGTTAACCAATACAGAAGAACATGTTAGGTACTCAAATTCTCTTTCTTAACCAATAAAGGACGTCTTAACCCCCCCCCCCTCCCCAAGTTCGCTTTACGACACTTGGTAAACGTCTTCAACTCGAAGCTTGCTTCAATAACTGGTACTGCGTCTCCCGGTGGGAAAGCGGTAAGTTTGCGGACTTACAACGCTAAAATATAGGGTTCGATTCTCCGCGGTGGACAAAGCCGATAGCTCAAACTGGTCCCATTAATTTGAAGCCAGGCATTAGTCCTACGTGCTTTGCTGCACAGAATATTATCCTGTTGAAAAACATATCTTTCTAATTACCAAAAAACCAACAACAACTCCGCCGTGAATCCTAACATACTTGAGATATTTTGACACCAATGGTAATTTAGGCATTCAGGCGCTTTTCACGTAAAAGGCAACCCAAACTATACTCCCCCCCCCCCTCACACACACACAACACTTCTTTTTCACATTTCTAGCATCGTGGTAATAGAGTCGGTAGATTCTATATATAGAGATGGCCAATATGCTCAATCGGCATAATATAAATATACACGCTAAAGGATCAACAACGACAGAGAGTTTTATTTTAAAAGATAATTTCCATTCACTTTGATTTGTTTCTCTACCCAACAAGCCCCAAAACAAGGCAAGAAACCATCGCTTAGACACCAAGCCAGGAAATGGCCAACTCGGCAATTTGTTCAACTTTCTTCTTCTTGTATAACAACTTTCGAGTTATTCATCTGTCTGCTTCTACACCCATAATCAACCACCGCTTCCAAACTGATACACCCATAATCAGCCACCGCTTCCAAACTGATACGCCCATAATCAACCACCGCTTCCAAACTGAACGAAATAGCTTCCTTCACTCCATGAAGTTGGCGAGCATTCGTCAAGATCTTAGTGCTGATGAACTCTACATTAAAAAAACAATTACTGAGGATTGTGTATATCAGTCCTTCCAAAATAGCCATATATTCGCGGAGAACACTCTACACACAGAGACCTAACAGGTTACACTTGTTTACTCGTAGTCACTTTGGATAAAGTCACTGTGACTTTGTTAAAAATGATTTCTGGCATTTTTTTACAATCCTGACAAAAGAACATATGTCACTCTCTAACAGATGTCTGGAGCTGGCTTGATTTTTTTTTATTTGTTGTTCTGTTAAATTTCCGAAACTGTTAGATGGTCTTTTGCACATTATATCGCGCGTGACGAACCACTGCAGTTAAATCAGTTATGGATTTTTCACATACTTTAACAGTCTATAATCTCCTCTCTCTCTGTAACACAGATAATTATCGAAGTTTCATGTTACGCAAATACACATACACTCTTGAAACCAGTGTGTCTATTTTGTGTCCACGGAGTTTCTTTGCTGTATGGACCATGTCGGTAGGGCAGTGTAAGAGTTGATAGAATAGTACATAAGTATTTTTTTTCTTCGTTTACGTTTTTCTTTCTGCATTTCTGAATTATTTTCTCACAATTGTCAAGCCAGTTCATCCTACTTTATAACCAGGCAGCAACTTGCAAAAGATACGTGTCAAAACCCCTGACTAAGAGTTAGTGCATTTTCGATAAAATAATAAATGTCTGTTATCTGTAAAACAGATATGTAAAGTTATTAAGCTAAATGATATTCCCTTGATGAAACTAAAATATATTTTTTACTTGTATTTCCGCTCTCTTATGAGGCATATCAAAGATTAATCATCCGGTACGTTTGCTCATCTTCTTCAGTACATGTGTATGGGTTTCTCTGGTTATGTATATTATGGTGAGAAGAACCTTATAGCAGATTTTGATTTTTTTTTTTAGAAAAATGAGACTATCTTATATCATAATGGGAGCTACCAATAAATCGTTATTTCGAATTTGAACTTATAATATTCATAAGCGCTGTCATAACCGACTTGTATGTTTGTTGTAACGCATTGGGCTCTCTGTGCTTTGCTCACTAAAACTGGATTTCGATATCTGTGGTGGGCACATCACAGAAAGCCCATTGTCTAGCTTTGTTCTTAACAACAAACAAACAAACTGATTCATAATGGAAGTCCCTAATTTAGCAGTGAAAGACTAGAGCGAATGCAGCTTGTCATCACCACCCACAATCAACTCTTGGGCTATTCTTTTATCAACGAATAGTTAGATTGACCGTCACTTATAACGTTCTCATGGTTGAAAGGGCGAGTATGTATGGTGAAATAGGGATTCAAACCCGCGACCCTCAGATTGCGAGTCAAGCGTCCTAATCACCTGGTCATGAAACACCTGTTAATACACCTGTATTTTAAAATTTTGCAAATTAAGTACACACACATTTATCCTTTAAGATGCTCCATATCTGGCAAAAGCTTTAATAGGAATCTAAAAATGTTAGAGTTGCCCATAAATCAGGCTTGGAACTTAAAAGAATTTCTGTGACAGTTAATAAAGTGAATATAATATTTAACAGTGCCGCATTGGTTGACAAAACGTGTTCAGAACTAACTTGCTCTACGTACATTAATAAAGCATGTAAGGAAATTTCAAATCAAAACAAATTTCAAAGTTTAACATATCATATGTGAGATGAGTTAATAAGAACATCTCCCAGACCGTTTCTAAAAAATAATTCTTAAAATTACATAACAGCTTTCCAAACGTCATCAGTTGCATCAACTTTTGAAATACGTTAAATAGAGAAAAATAGAACCAAACACCAGAATGCATCCTTTGTGTTCTTGTAATAATGGGTTCTAATACCCGTAATTATAATAATCGATAAAGGTTTCAATACCCGTAATTGTAATAATGGATAAAGGTTCCAATATCCGTAATTGTAATAATGGATAAAGGTTCCAATACTTGTAATTGTAATAACTGATAAAGGTTACAATGCCCGTAATTGTGATAATGGATAAAGATTCCAATATCCGTAATTGTAATAATGGATAAAGGTTCCCATACCCGTAATTGTAATAACTGATAACGGTTCCAATACCCGTAATTGTGATAATGGATAAAGATTGAAATACCCGTAATTGTAATAATGGATAATATTCCAATATCCGTAATTGTAATAATGGATAAAGGTTCCAATACCCGTAATTATAATAATGGATAAAGGTTCCAATACCCGTAATAGTAATAATGGGTAAAGGTTCCAATACCCGTAATAGTAATAATGGATAAAGGTTCCAATTCCCGAAACTTTAATAAATGATAAAGGTTCCAATACCCCTAATTGATTGTTATAATCTATAACGCTTCTCCACATTGAAGTTCTAGATCAATTTGTCTAGAAAGACACAGCATAATACTTCACGGGTAAGAAGCCCCCCAGTGGCACAGGTTTGCGGATTTATACTGCTAGAAACCGGATTTCGATACCCGTGGTGGGTAGAGCATAGATAGCCCTTTGTGCAGCTTTGTGTTTAATATCCAACAACAACAAACCAGGCAAGAAATATTTGATGCTTTCTATTATTTCCCTTGAAATGAATACTATTAATTGCTTGGACTATATATAGTTTACAATAATTATCTTGCCAGTTGGTGAAGAGGAATTTCTCACCACTCTGGATAAGGTAGACTAAATTTTTATATGCAAATAAATAAGTTTTCAGTTTATTCTTGTTCGTTTTTTTGTTTTTTTTCTACTTAAGGTCGTAAAATAAATCGCTTGGTGACACTGGGATTATTTTTGTTTTTCACGAGAGCTATAGCTACTGATCTTGTGGGATTCGGTTACAACTAACTGGATAACGAGTATTTTCTCCCCTCCTTTAATTTGGGTTTTATTACACAATTTTTTCTCTAACGCGTACAACGTTCTGTCACTGTTCTATACTGTTCAACGGCCGTCATCAGCTTGTGACCTCATTCTTGGTAATTTACTTTTGAAAAGGTGCGTATAATATGGATAAAATCTAGCCCCGTGCAGCGCCACACTGTAACTTTGCACTAGGGGTGAACACGTATAATCATCTTACACAACAATTATAACACATTTTATCTAACAACAAAAGCACAAAACTGTTCCTTTTTTTATTCTTTATAGGGTCTAGGTACAAGGAGCAAGATAGATCCTCCCATTCCTTGCCGTTGTATGAAGTCCAATACGTGGGAACTCGGGGACAGATTTTAAACGGTTCGTCACACGCTTCACAGGGTCGCGTGGCATTATAGAGGGCGCTGTCAACAGAAGCTGGTTTAATAAAGACGTAATTCCTAATCCTGTCAAGGCGTGACTTGACTTCTTTGACAAAATTCAGCCGTGAGTGACATCCGAACTCGACATTTATGACTTAGCTCTGCAAGGTTTGTACAAACAAGGTTGAGCTTTTCTGTTTGTGTTCTTGAACTTACTATGTTGTTTTGGCTGTTTACACCTTTGAGTAGTTACACCGAATGTCAATACTTGAACAGTAACTGTTCGTAAATACCGTTTTATACAGCGTGTTAATGTTAATATTTGCCTAAAGAAGTATAAGGTGGTAGAAGATATTTACTAACATGATAACAGTGGTACAGGATTAGAGAGAATAATTTCAGGTTTAAAAGACCACCAGAAAAGAGAGAAACGTAGTCCTTGTTCTTATCTTTCTATATTGTTTGTCAAATAAACTTTAGGTAAAATACATTCAAGATTGCTTATTTATCATG